AGTGGCCACGACCAATTAACTTGAAACAGTTGCGGGGTTTTCTTGGTCTTACGGGGTATTATCGACGCTTTGTCAAAGGGTATGCGCAAATAGCAGCTCTATTAACTGATTTGTTGAAGAAAGATGCTTTTCAATGGACTGTGACACCTGATAACGCCTTTCAACAACTAAAGGAAGCACTTACTACAACACTGGTTCTGGCCATACCAAATTTTTCAGCACCTTTTGTTCTTGAAACAGACGCTTCAAGCTCGGGTGTGGGAGCAGTCTTAAGTCAAGAGAATCATCCTATAACTTATTTTTCTGAGAAATTGTCAGTGGGAATGCAAAACCAGTCTGCATATACACGTGAGTTTTATGCTATTACTGAGGCATTGTCCAAATTTCGACATTATCTTTTGGGCCACAGGTTTATTATTAAAATAGATCAGAAGAGCTTAAAGGAATTAGTTGAGCAGCGTTTACAAACTCCAAAACAGCAACAATGGTTACCAAAGTTCTTGGGCTTTGATTTTACAATTCAATATAAGCCGGGAAAAGACAACATTCCAGCTGATGCGTTATCGAGGAGCCTTATGCTAGCTTGGTCAGAACCCACTAGTCAGTGGTTTAAAAGGGTGGCTGACCTCACTCAAAAAGATGTTAGGTTGAAGGATCTTTATGATCAGTGTGTGGCAAATCGCTTACAGTCCCCAGAATATTTGATTAAGGATGGATTATTACTTTGGAAGGGTCGTATCATGCTACCCTCGGATGAAGATATTATCAATCAGGTGTTGTTGGAATTTCACTCTTCAAAGGTAGGAGGTCATGCTGGAGTTACAAAGACCATGGCTAGAATTTACTCTCAATTCTTTTGGCCTGGAATGCAGCAGAGGATTCGAAAGTTTGTCCATGAATGCCAGATTTGCCAGCAAGCTAAGGTGCAACAAGCTTTACCAGCAGGGTTACTACAACCCTTGCCAATTCCAATACATGTTTGGGATGATATCGCAATGGATTTCATCACTTGTTTGCCCTTATCTCATGGGTATTCAACAATTATGGTAGTTGTGGATAGGCTCTCCAAATTTGGTCATTTCATTCCACTCAAGGCTGCATATACAAGTAAGACTGTTGCTGAAGCTTTTGTTACCCACATAGTTAAATTGTATGGTATACCTCATTCCATTGGCTCTGACAGGGAGAGAATTTTCATGAGCTTATTCTGGCAACATCTTTTCAAGGCTCAAGGTACCACACTTGCTATGAGTTCTTCATACCACCCCCAGTCGGATGGGCAAACGGAGGTTTTGAATAAAATCTTAGAAATGTATCATCGTTGTTTCGTCTTCGACAATCCAAAAGGGTGGTATTCTATGCTTCCATGGGCCCAATTTTGGTATAACTCTTCCTTGCATCAAAGTCTTGGGATGTCTCCTTTCAAGGATTTATATGGTAGGGATCCTCCTACTGTCATACGGTATGAAACTACCCCAACTGATCCCGTATTTGTTCAAGATATGCTTCGAGCTCGTGATGCAATTCTTCAGCAATTAAAATTGCATTTGTTGAAGGCTCAGCAATACATGAAACAGCAAGCTGATACACGCCTGAGGGATCTGAAGTTTGTTGTCGGTGATTTGGTCCTCATCAAATTACAACCGTATCGACAACATTCTGTAGCTTTAAGGAAAACTCAAAAGTTAAGTATGCGTTATTTTGGTCCCTTTGAAGTTTTGACAAGAATTGGAGAAGTTGCTTATAAGCTTAAGCTCCCAGACACTGCGAGAATTCACCCAGTGTTTCATGTGTCGTTGCTTAAGGCGTTTAAGGGAAGTCCCTCTCAAGTTTATTTACCTCTTCCCCTTACTACTACTGAATTGGGTCCTTTTGTTCAACCTTTGCAAGTTTTGGATTCCAGAATTATTATGAGACAGTGCCAGTCAGTTCCTCAAGTCCTAATTAAATGGGACTCTTTAGATGTTGCTGCTGCTACTTGGGAGGATACAGCTGAGATACAAGAGTCATTCCCAGACTTCAACCTTGAGGACAAGGTTGTTTGCAAAGGAGGGAGTATTGTAACGTGCAAAAAAAAATGAGAGCCTACGAAATGCTGAGCAGAGTGAGGAGAAAAAGTTAGTTACACCACAAGGCCACGTGGAAAATGATCAGCAAGGAAATGGACGAAGGAAAAGCATGAGGAGTAAGAGAGAGAATGTATTTCTTCAGGACTACGTGCACTAGGAGAAAGGATGTGTGTGGTATGTTTTCTCTCTGAAAATTCTGCTGCCTAATTCTTCCTGATCTGATTCTTCTTACTTCTTTCTGATATTGATTCAGGTTGTGAGCTTCAACAATGGTGATCGGGTCGTGACCGATAGTCTATAAAGCACCGATACTTCAATTTGCTTCACGTATCCGTATCGGATACGTATCCGATACGATACTCTTGGATACTTCACCGATACGTGTCAATGAAGTATCTTAGTCTTTAAAAATATTATGAAAATTTTATTTAATTCTAATACTCTCAGATACTTCACCGATACTTATTGGTGATACGTATCAATAAAGTATTCAAATTTTTGAAAAATTATAAAATATCCACTACATCTAAATAAGATATGTAAACATGTTTAATATAAAAACATAGAAATATTGATCCTTGATGAACTCTAAATAAAAATTGTCTTTTATATAGATAATTTTAAGAAAGGAATGAAATTGGTAATATTATTTCTATTTGTAAATAATAAAAAGTAATTTATGATGAAATGATTTATAATTTATTTATTTTTAGTAATATACAATAAGTATTTTTTTAATTAGGATTTGCAAAATAGCAATTATATATTTAGTTTTTATGAATTTTGATCAAAATTACAGGTAACATTTATTATATTATATGAACATTAATACATATGATGACACGTATTTTATAAATATCGTATCCTATATATTTTAAAATAATCGTATCGCCGTATCGGATACGTGTCGTATCCGATACGCGTATCGTATCGGTGCATCATAGCCGATAGTTATCATTAATTTCTCATTTCCAATTCTGTATTGAAACCTTTGTTTCTTGGTTGCAATTGTTTGCTGTTATAATTGTAATCAAGCACTTATATTCTTCAAACAATATTATACAAAATATACAGGGTGTTTCTGCTGCTATTGTATAGAGCTCATTTTTTTTAAGTTCTACCAAAAATGCTTTTATTGATATAATGAACTAAAATTGGTTATGGTATGAGCAGAAATTGTATTCTATATGTTTTTTTTTGTTATGATCACAAATATCTTTTTTGTGAATTGTGATCATCATAATTATGAATTAATGAGAAATAAAAAATGTGTATTTCTTTACCAATATTCTATATTTACATAAATTTTCTTATAATTTTTAGTAACGTATCCAGGATGTATCATCTCCTAAATTTCAAAAAATTGTCGTATCTCCATGTCTATGTCACATCGTACCCGTGTGGTACTAAGTATCCAGGATTCATAGGAGCTTTCCCACAGTGCAAGTATTTCAATGTAATCCATAGCTAAGTACTTCTAACAATTATTAACTTTTGTCAGTATCAGAAATAACACAATCCTAAATCAGACCATGCACAGAAAATAAACAACAATAATACAACCATGTGCTACATCCTAAATAATTAAAATTTCTAAAAGTCAGCCTGAACTTCTAATAGAAGCATGGGTATTACTCCTTGTGTTCAAACAAGAGAAATTTTTTAAGACTTCATTTAGCCTTACTTAACTTCATTAAGAGGGTACACTCATCCCCTTCAACATTGTAATTTGCACTAAACTTGGAATGGTTGTATCTTTCTAGTGCTTCAAGTTACCAATATTGGAAAGAAGTACATTGCTTTGCCACCACTTGAGTGGTGGATTGGTAAATCCCTTTCTCGCTTTACAAACTATCTTAACATAAGACACAAAAGGCAATTTAAAAAGACCATGTCATTTTATTGTATAACTAAAAGTAGCATAATTAATATTAATGTTTAAAGAGACATATTTGGTTACGGAACAGTTGAAAATTATCAGAACATCCAAGTTGTGTAAAGTGTAAACCATGCCACTACTTAAGAAATTAGCAGTCAAATAACAAGATAAACCTCAAAAAGTAAATTCCTAGCTCAACACATGATGTTAGTGAGTGGAGGGCTATGCCGCCTAAGAAAACCAATATATAGAAGAGAAAGACTTTTGACATAGCACAGATTACAATTGTAATGATGTGTCTAAGCATGACTACAGCTATTATACGCTACCAGTTTCATGGATAACTTCACCGCAAAGTGCGTCTTTGTAACTCTACTAAAGCATCAAAAATGGGACATGGATGCATCTTAGTTTAGTTATTTAAAATTTTTATCACAGTTTATTAACCAAGTTATCTGTCCCATAAATTACACCCACTAGATGAAAGCAAAGAAAGCAAGAGGATCATAATAAATTCTCAGTGTTCTAAGGCACCAAGAATGTTGGCAATCACATTATATATAAACTACATCACTAGCATCCCAAAATTCAATGATTTCAATCAGAGGCTACACAGGATGAATCGCAAATTCAGTATCATATATGCTAGGGATAATGCATGTTCCAAGTCAGTGATGTTTTATGTGGATAGAGTATCAGACACCAAAACTGAGTAGTGATATTGATAAGTTCAAACATAAATACTATTTCAACAACATTTAGTTAGGGGAACAAGGATGAGCAGCGTTCAAATTATGGATCTTGTACTCTGTTGATAATGAATAATTAATCATCCAAATTTCAAAACTCTAAAAATTACCAGAAAGCAAGCACATCTATTCAGTACAAGTTAGAAGAATCAAGAAATGGAGACAGTAAGTCAGTTACTATTACAACAAGTGGAGACAAACCCGAAAAACAACATCATTGTAATACGAGAAAGGCAATGTTGGAAATTAATAAACAAAAAATAGTTGAACAAGGCTAATTTGAAAATGCAACAATGAAGTCACCTGTCGTAGCTGTTGCCAATCAAGGGTATAGTCACCATCTCCTCCTGGGATATCTTGAGTTTTGGTGCTTGCAAAATGTAACGAAGTTCTGCAGCTTGGCGTCGGATGCTAACACTCGGGTGTGTCTTTTCTAATTGCTGGTATAGAGCAATGCAATCTTTATGGCGGTTATTGGCCTCATAAGCCATAGCCAGCCATATTTGTATCTGAAATACACAATATTTTTAAATTAGTTTTGCCTTCTCTTTAACAATTATACAGGAATTCTTATTTAGGCAAAAAAGAACCAACCTCACCACCAAATAGTGTAGGTCTGGGTATGATGGTGAGTGCAGCTTCAAGAAACTCAATGGCACGTCCATAGGAGCCTTTCCCATAAGCCTTCTGACCCAAATCAAACATCAACTGCGCAGTGGCCCTCCTCTCCGCCTGCTCCTTAGCCACCTGATTGATCCACCAATCCCACAAACAACAAGTCATCAACAAACAAGTCGCAATTTAACATGAGACTCTCCAATCTCCATGCAACAATTGTTACTCTAAGTATTTTTTTTTTTTTTAAATGAACAAAACTTGGACGTAATTCATTAGTTATTTATTATGTTGTTCTCTGGTCTCAGCTGGAGTTTCACTTAGTAATTTTTGTAATAAAAGTTTGTACTAAAAATCAACATAAGTTACCAAATTTAATGTTAATGCATATAAACAATTTTTACAATATTATTAAAACACATCGTCATATATGATTAACTTTATTAACTTTTATAATAACTATAACAAGAACCAAAGCACTCGAGAAACCCTCACTTAAAAGCTAGCTACCAAGGGGACAGAACAAGTACTTAAATACTCCTCCGATCCTACCTACTCAGATTTGGCATCCCATAATACGCAAGTCCTTATCAAACTACTTCAAAATTGATAAGTTTATTGACCGGTATGTTTAGATAAATTTCTTCAAAGTCACTTTTAGAATTTGAACCGACAAATGAGATTAAGTAAGTTTTACATAGGTAAAAATACTAGTTTATATATAAATTAATTGTAAAAAATTCTTCCATATTAATTTGTCTAAAAACTTAATTTTAATTCATATATAAGCTAGTTCTAGTTTTTGATCGAAAAACTTTTTCATTTTCCTATTTTTGCCGGCCTAAAAGTGAAAAAACTTATCCAAACCAACATGGGCACCTTATACAAAATCGGTTCTAAAACAACCGATTTTAAAAGTAGTAACATAGGCACCTTTTAAAATCGGGTAAATAACAACCGATTTTAAAATACCATTTAAAATCGGTTAAATTTTAACCGATTTTAAAAGTGGTGATTTTAATTACAAAAATGCCACCGCCTTCCTTTTAAAATCGGTTCCCCTTAACCGATTTTAAAACCCCGATCTTAAAAGTTATTTTTGCACTAGTGCTTGTAACCAAGTATTTTGACCCGGTGGTTGTAAGACCAGCATGGGAACACAGAGTTGAGCTAGTGCTCTCAAGTTCGTTCAATTCCCATCTTTGTCAATGTTTCACCAACGAAAACCAAGTCCAAGCACAATTTAGTACTTAGTGCGTGTTTGGTTTTGATTCATGAACGTAAGTTTTCTTTCTCTCTCCACGTTTACAATCAAAATTACGTGGAAGCTTGAATTTTTTTGCTTCCTGTAAACGTGAATTTTCACGTCCAAAATTCGAAGCAACTTGATATCTAACTTAAATAATCACGTCTATAAACCATGTGAACCTCTTTAACTAACTTTAATTGTCGAATTTAGGACACTCCATAAACCATGTGAATGAACCAAAATAAAAAGCAACTTGATATCTAACTTAAAAGTCACTTGCAGCATAAAGTGAAAAAGAACCTTTTCGAGCTCTTTTCTGACTCTCATCCTCTTCTCTTCCTCAGTTTCCTCCTTTCCTTCCTCAACGCGACTCTGCAACTCCTCAGCCTTCTTCTCGAGCTCCCTCCGCTCCTCGAACTCCCTCACTCTCCGACGCATTTCCGTCTCCCAGTCCTCCAAGCCGCCGCCGCCGCCCTCCTCCTCCTCGTCGCTGTCGAAGTCCACGCCGTTCTTCTCCGAGTTCGACTTCCCACGCGCCACCACCACGCGGCTCCGCGCGTCCCCGTCCGAGGCGTAGCAGCAGGACGACGGCGCGTCCCTCTTCGAAGGCGGCGAGCTCAAAACGACGTCGGATCCAACGGGGCGACCCTTCCTCTCCATAATCACGCTCCGCGACGACGCCAGGTCCAGTGACAGCGCCAAGTTCACGAGGTTCACAGCCATGTCGGCGAAAAGAAGAGAAAAGTAAGAGTTGTGAAGTTGTAAGAATGAAAACAGGGGAAGAGGCTCTTATTATTGTTCCGTAAATATCTTCCATCGCTTCTATTTTTCTGTCTTGTCGTTGTTTTTGGACGAGATGGGAACGTGGCGCCCTCTAGGCCAGTGACGTGTGGCATCGTCTCTCTTACAAACGCTGTCGTTTCCTGCATTCTATCTAGTTTTGTATTCAGTTATATACGACATTTTATCCGTTTGAATTATTTCTTTTTAAAATATTGCTGCTATAAATTAATGCTTAACAATCATTGATACAATAAATTTAATTTGCATTCTCAAAGAATATTTAATAAGTGTAATGTATTAATGAATTTCATCTAAAATACTCTTATTTTGTTCAAGGTTAACGTACATTTTTTTAATTTCTATAGTATTATTAATTTTACTTTTAATTTTTATAATTTAAAATAAATATTTTTAATTCATATATTTATATTTTTTTAATCAATTTTAGTCTGTTATTAATTTTTTTGTTATGTTGTTTCCTTGTGAGTGATATAGGTTTATTAAATTCATGTAATATGATGTAGGAAACTTCTACGGTACCCACGGGTACCGGTATAGTCGCTTAATTTTTTATTTTATTTTTATTATAATTATTTTTTTATTATTTTAATTTAATATTTTTAATAATTTATCTTTATAAAATTTTCTATATCTTTATATTATTTTATATATTTCTTTAGATGTTTTATCTTATAATAGCATCTATTATAATTAAATACTTTGTTAGTATGTTATAGTTTTTCTGTTTTAATCTTTTGAATTTATAATATAAATTAGCTTTTCAGTTATATTATTTATTATTTTTCTCTTTTTTTAATTTTTAATTTTTAATTTTTTAATTCTGTCACATATAAATAAAATTTATAATGAAAATTGACCTTTTAATTATTATTTTTTAATTAGTCTTTTTATTGATTTATCTTATATAAATTTTTAATCTAAAATTTATATTATTTTAAATTTATTTTTTTAAAATTATTTGTTCACATAATTTACAGTACCAAAACCTTTTAATTTTCATGGGTACCATAGCAATTCCCTATGATGTATTTGGTTTTTCGACAGCAATGTGTCTTTGAATGATTTACTATATAGTCATTAAAAAGTAGTTCACTTATATGAATTACACTTAATCACAGTAAATATTGATTATTTACACAATTATTCAAACTCTTCTTTTTTTCCCTTCTAAACTATTAGATAACATATCATCGTTTACAAAATCAAATACATCCTATGAATTTAATAAGTTCACGTCATTCAAAAGGAAACAAAGTTACAAAGAAATTAACAACGTGACTAAAAAAGATTAAAAAATGTAAATATAGGAACTAAAAATATTTATTTTAAATTATAGGGACAAAAAAAGTATCTTAATCTTTATTTAATATAATGTCAAGTTAGAAAATGAATTAAAAATTTCAAATATTTTAACTAAATAAATAAAATAAGTCCTATAAAAATAATGGTAATCTCGTAAAGACTATCATATGGTTGATAAAACTAATTGTCTTACATTGATTAAGCCAAAACGTTGGACTTTACTTAAACATTGCGTTTTATGAAATATATATTTAAGATAATGATGAAAACTTGTTTTCTAACGATCCCTTTGGAAACGATATGACTAAGAAGGGTGAAGGATGATAAAATTGGTTTGAATAATTATAGGACACTTATCCTTGTTTTGTATGGTACCCTACCTTTGGAGACATATCTTGCCATAAAGGACTCCTATTGTTTTATACATTTTTCTTGTAATTCATTTTAGTAGTGATTGTATTAAGATATTTTTGGCCTTGTATTTTGGATCAAGTAGTGTAAGTAATTTTGTCCTTATATTACTTGAAGGTATAATTAGTAGATTAGGAAAGATGTAACTAGTAAAGTCTTGTTAGACTTATTTGGGCTTGGATGACTCAAATCTTTTTATGGCCCATAAGTCTAGTCTACTTGGTCATGCAAATGGTTTGGATTTCCAAACCATGCCAAATTTGTCATCCAAGCTACAAATTAAGGCACATGGCTTTGATAGTGACATATCAACAACTTATTAAAAGTAACCATTAATCTAATGATTGTAATGATTAGGTTAGGTAGTTGAAGTTAACTTAAACTAACCTAAGTTATTCTTAAACTAGGATTACTTTAACTTACTCCATAAGCTTCTAGACAATTAGTTACACTTCTAGAAATTTAACTAGAATTGGCTAGCTTAAGTACAAGATAGTTAACTATGGTTAGTCTAACTTGCATCATAAGTCAACTAAACTCTATATATTGTAGTTTTAACTCATTTTGTACAACTTTTGAGTATTGTTGACGTTTGAGGAGTTATTTTCTCCTTTAGATTTCTATCTCTCAAAAGCTTAAATCTCTCTTTGATTTATTTCAAATTCTCTTATCCTCTTCCTAAAAGTGCAGTGAGATTTGAAGTGGTTTATCTACTTCCTTGAAGTGACACCACTTGAAGAAAGTCTTTCACCATTGAAGATGATTTCAAAGGTTTCTTCCTCCATTGAAAAACCTTGAAGAAGCTTAAGGAGTGTCAATAAGGAAAAGATCCAAGAAGAAATTTGAAGGAGAAGTTACAACAATCTAGTTCCACAAAAATTTCCATCAGATAGTCTTATATTTTTCAATAATAATTGTACTTGCACAATTCAAGCCTTAAAATGAAGTCAAGATTTAACTCTATATGTTTTATTTAATTATTTCATGATTGTATTGTTTAATTTTCAATATGTTGTGCTTATAATTATTTTAGAACTCTAAGGGTCAAGAGATTCTTGATAATTAAGTTATTTTTGAAGTTATTTTAATCAGGATCAAGTTAACTAAGTTTAGGGGAAGGTATTTAAGATTTTTCTTAAAACGTGAACTTTATAAGTTCATATCCTAAGAAAAGTTATAAAGAAGCTAGAGAGATAGGCTTTAGAGTCAGAGAGATACTTTTCTCTTTTTGATTTTGCAAGAACTTTATAAATCCTTCTCTTAGTTGAGTAGTAGTAGTAGATTGGTAGATTCAAAGCTTGGGAGCTAAGAATATGAGATGAAGTTTGTTGTGCAGTGATCCTAAAAACCTTCATTCTTCCTTCCCTTTTCTTACTTTTCGAATGATTTGAGGTAAGAAAAGTATGTTGAATTGATGCTTGTTGAATTGCAGTGATTGATTTCTATTTAGATTCATCATTTGGTGGATTTTTTTATTGAATCAAGAATAAAGATAACTTGCGTTAAGTTTTTCTTCTTGAAAGGTATTTTGAAAAGTGGCAATTTTTAAGTTATTAATGGTTGCATGTTGTTCCTATTACTGAAATCAAGTTGCACTTGTTGTATATATGTTGAAATTGATATTGCATGTTGGTTTTGCCAAGAATTTGTAGGTTTTCAGCCAAAATTGTCATTTTACCGTGTGAAAATTGTCATCACATTGAGGGCAACTTCATGGCATCGAACATGATGCAAGTCAAGGGCTCTTTACCTCACTAACGTCGAGCGTGGGATTTTTAGTGTCAAGCATGAGTTAGTTAAGAGCTCTTTGACTTGGTCACTTTGAGCGTGAAATGAGAGGGGTTAGACGTGATTGCTCGAGAACCTCTTTAACTTGGTGATGCTAGACATGATCAAGTTAGTGGTTTTCTGCCTAAATGATGTTGGACGCGATTTTGTAGTATCGAATGTGGGTTAGGTATAGATTCTCTATGTGAATAATGTTGGACATGGGTTTTGTAACGTTGAGCATGATGTACACATGGACTCTTTATCTCATTCTCGTCGAGTGTAGGTGGTTTAACACTAGGTGTGAGTGAGCCAAAGGCTCTCTACTCGAGCGTGGTCATGCTGAATGGAAATTTTAATTTAGTTGATTAAATGTTGATGATTTACATGATATATATTAATGATTGAATTCTAGTTCATTATTTATTGATCAATGATGATATATAATGATGTTTTAAATTGTTTAATTTGGAAGTTTCCTATTGTTGAAAGTTGATTAAGTTGTAAGTTGTATATGTTGTTTAAGTTGTACGAAGTAAATTGATTAAGTTGTTAAGTTTTATGAGCATGTGATGCATGTTTAAGTTGATTTTGCATAAAAACTAGAAGAGATGAAAATTGTTTTAGAAATTAAAATATTCCATTATATGGATATGAGTTGTGGTACTCCAAGAACCCAAAGTTGAGAATCCCTCAATGAGTAAGTTGTCTCTTGAATGGAAGGTTATTTTATTTTGTCTCCATAAATTGTTACATGTGATGATGCATTGGTTGTTTAAGTTGTGATTGAAGTTGTTTATATTGAAAATGTTGTGTATGTTGTAAGTTGTAATTGATATTGTAAGTTGTGACTATGTTTTAAGTTGGAAACTAAACTGTTGAAGTGGTTGCTTCCTTATTTTGTTGTTATGTTATTTTCTTTAACATGTTGACCCTTTCTTTTCCATATTGTTGGACTGTAATAATCACATATGATATAGGAGTATGACAAAACTAGGTTAGAGGGTTTTGCTTGGTGGATGATCATGTTAAAGATGACCTAATCACAAAAATGCAACCTAATATCACATTTGAAAACCTTTTGTGTCCGTGCTTCTTCCTTCCACATATTCTTTTTCCTGATTTCATTAATTTATCTAGGCACAAACTATTGATCTTCATTTTAGGTGATTCAAAATATGGGTGTTCCCCTTCTTTCTTTAATGGGCATTTCAAAATTAGAATTTGCGTTAAAACATTTTAATGGGTTGAAATTTGTTTTTTTTTAACATTTTTATACTATCAGTTATTTAATAGAATGTCAATGCCTCTGAGTCAAGATTTTTCTTTTGACATAATTATTGTTACTGAGTTGTTTGTGATTAATTTATGTGAGTGTTTTCATTTGTAATGTTCATGTTTGGTTCTACTTGTTAACTTGTGTAGAAGTCACACTAGTTGAACATGATTAAATTATTAGTGCAATTAATTTTGTTTTTATTCAATTTAAAGTTAGACCTTTAAAGCTATT